CCCGTCTTCGACTGGCGCTCCCCGGCAGCCAGCTGCGATCGGGGGACGGTCCCGTTGGCGTTGCACACATGAGCCGTGTGTAAGGGAGCGGAAGGCGTTTATTTATTTATTTCTGCTTCACGGTGGTGCTCACGGAAAATGCAAAAATAATCCAATCCACAGAGAGCTCACTTGGCCTCTTGCAAATAAAGACTGCGGAAAGCACCACCCTGAATAGAGCCCGCCCAGCATCTGACTCCGCTCCCTAAGTCGAAGAGGAGCATCATCCAGTCTCACCCACTTCGCTCGCTGCCCACTGTCTCCGCTCCCTCCCGCTTGAGCCGCCGGGTCGCGGCCCTCGTTCGTCGCCACTGGCGTGTTGGCCTGTCCCCACGTTACCCCCTTTATCCCTCCTGGCCTCCGCGACTCCCTCAAGCCTCAAGGCCGGTGGGCCTCCTTCCACCAGCGAAGAGCTTCCTCAGCTATGCGCGCCGTAGCCTCATCATCGAGCTGATCTCCACCTCTGCACGCCACCGCTCCCGTCGCCGCCTCAGCCACGACTTGCAAGTTCCTCGTGACCCCGGCGCCACGGTCCCTCCGGCTCTTCTCCGAGAGATCATCTACCAGCGCTGGCATCACCCCCCCGACGGCAGGGGCTAGTGCATCGTACCCGTCCTCATATCATCCAGCACCCTATAGCGTGAGCCCTTCAGCGCAGCGACATGCGCTACCCTCAGCGTCTTCTCAGCGTATTGGAGTCGGGTGCCGCCTGGGCTACTTTGCTGATCGCCGTCCCCGTCTGCGCTCGCGCTACTCTGAGGAACCATTTAGCCTGCTCCCTATTCCCCAGGCAGGCGCCGCTAAGCAAGTGCGCCACATCGTCGCTCTAGGCGGGTTCTCATCTTCCTCGGTCCATTGCTGCGCGGCTTTCCGCACGATCGGACACAGCGGGTCTCGCTTTAGTGCCGCCCTCCTCGCCGCGTCCCTTGCGGCCTTACAGGCGAGGCAGCCCCTGAGTTTGCTCCTTGTGGCGGGCGGCGCCCGGGGTGTCTCTCTCCCCGCCTCTCCCCGCATGATCCTCTCGTGGTGCGCTCCGTGTGGCACCCCCGCCTGCTGCCGCACCCGCGCTCCCATGACGGTCTTGGTCACCACGTTGTGATCGTCCACCGCACGTCGGCGAACAAGTCAATCTCACACGCTCGCGCCGTGCTGATCCTTGATCCAAATCTCAAACCGCCCCGTTTTTAACCAAACGAGCCGCCCCCCCCTCGGACACGTCCCTCCCTGTCCTCTCCACTGGTTCCTCTACTTATAGCCTCCATCCAGCCCCGACCCAACGGGGACGCCACTTAACCCCTCGCCATGCCCCTCGCCCAGCCAGGGATGTACAATGGTCAATGCTGTCTTACTTAATTAAGGTCCGACCTGCGCTCCCTGCACCGGCACACCGACTCGGTATTTAGGCTGTATCCTCGCACTGTCGCTACCTTCCACCGCTTCGCCTTCGTCTCCTTGCTGCGCAGCAGGGTGTAGTTCGGGCCCACCTCCGCCACGCTGTCCAGCACGTGGGCGGCGCTCGCCATCTCGACCGCGTCGTCCTCCGGCGGAAGCTCTGCGTCGCCCGCGGCCGCTCCCCGAGCGCGCTCGTCGCGCATCCGCTCGTGGTGGGCCTGCCGACGCGCCACGCCGGCGCCCGTGTGCCTCGCCGCCGCGTCCGGCGACGGCATCGATCGCTGCCACAGGTCGTCCCACAGGTGTCATCCCACGCACGCGACAGAGGACGCATCCAAACCGCCGCATTTCGCCCGCCGACGAAAGTCTCCCACTCGCGCCCTCCCCAAATCTCGAGTCGTCTCTCTTTGAACATACAACCATACTAGTAAATAAAAGCGGAACACAGACAGAACAACACCCACAGAGC